TTCATTGAATATTTATATATCCTATGCAGCAGAGAATGGCTAAAGTAAGACAAGCTATAAAATAATATAACAATATAAGTTAAAAAAAGAATTATTAACATAAAAATTAATACAATAAGATATTATACAATTTATATAAGGCAATTAAATGATTGTTTAGAATGTATTTTATAAATATTGATGTCAATGGTGGCCAGCATTTTGGGCATAAACTAGAAAGGTATCAGGGTTAAAGATTAAACTATGGAGATTCTGTCATCCAGGTTATCCATTCTCATCCATGAGCAACACATCAAGGAAAAACAAAGAAAGTCCAGTTGCCTCTTGAAAAAGCACCTTTGGGACAGGATTAAGATTGTTCTTCTCCCATTGACCTCAAAGACCACTTTCCCTTATGCTCTTTCTTTTCTGCCAATCTGGCACTTTCCTGATGTATTCCTCCAGCCAGCTTGGAATTTATGTGCTCCAACACATCTGGGGGGCATCAGGTTAGCAAAGAATTATAGTTCTTTACCTGCTTGACTTCTAAGCTCTTTAGATACAAATACCACTGCAGAAATAAAGAGACAGAAAATACTTAACAGGATATAAAAGAAATGTGCTGTCAGGATGGGAAGAAACTTTGCCATATTTTTCTAAAAAGTATTTTTTTTAATAAAAGAAAAAGAAATGTGTGAGTATGGATGTGCATGCGCGCATGGAAATAAAAAGTGCCTGAACACACATGCATGCATTTAAAAAAAGGAAAAGGAAAAAGAAAGAAAGAAAGAAAGAAAGACAGACAGACAGACAAAGGCAAGATTCAAGAATGAGTTGCTCCTTCTTGTGAGATTAGTGACATATTTTTCCCAAAAGAAGTTAGATGAAGAGAATGCTCAAATGAATTCTTCACAAAAAAAGATCAAATTTTATATGTAAACTCTAAATATTTTAACAGAAAAAAACTGAACTTCTTGGCACTGAATTTTGTTCTAGATCAGGGGTATGAAACTCACAGCCCACGGGCCGATGCACCACGCGCTGGCCACGCCCACGTCCGGTTTAGCAAAGGGAGGAAAAGTCACGATACATCACCTGACACTGCCGCGATGACTTGAGTTTCACACCCCTGTTCTAGACGGTGGATGCCGTATCTACACACAAATCCAGAAGTACAATACATACTTTAATTTCATTGAACTGACTCAAGTAGTTGTCCATGGTCCTGATCGCTTGGTCTGCCAGTTTTTCCTCATAATCTTCCCATAAAAGATCATTGCTCTGTAAGGAAAGGGAGACACTTTTCAAAGTGCTGTTGAAATAACCCCTATGTCGTTATTCTTTTCTCCCATGAAGACCTAGAAGTATACAGAATCATTCTAAAAATAAAACTAGTAATCTTTTATACAGAGACTGGGAATAAACAAGAATTATTGGTTTAGTTTCCTCCTTTGGATCATTTTATTCCATTAGGTTTCTTTTTTAATTGAGCAGCAGAACAAAAAGTATTCAAAAGGAAGAGAAAAGAATGGTTAGTGTCATTTAGAACTGAAATATTGAATATACCCTATATCTGGGATGGCGAACCTATGGCACGCGTGCCAGAAGTGGCACACAGCGGCCTCTCTGTGGGCACATGAGCTGTCGCCCCAACTCAGCTCCACCGTACATGAGCACACACCTCTTACGGGCCAGCTGGTTTTTTTGGGGGGGTCTCTGCCGCGTAAAGTGGGTTGCTGCCGGCATTACTGCTAGTTTGGCACGCAATTTTTTTTGTGTATCCTCACTTCACTCGGCACATGCCAAACACACGCTCCGTGAAAAATTACATTTTTGCAATGAAGATTGTTCTGTGCATGGGCAGAACTAAAAATCAAGATGGCGACCCCACCAATAGAATCAAACTACTACCTACTCAGCTGAACCAATCTGAACCAGTAGGAACTCACCTCTGGGTGGAGTGCATGCGGGGGGCCATGTGGGCATGCACAGGGTGCAT